AGAGAGATCGAAATGCAAAATAAGTAAGTGCAAAAATACACGGGGAAATTTGGGTGTTTGTGCGAAAGAAACGGAGGGAGGGAAGGAGAAATGCTTGATTTCTTCGGAAGGCTCAGCCGGACAGGAAATACTGCTTGCTGGGAAGGATAAAACAGCCTTTTTTCACTCTCTGCCTTGTTCCCTTTGGGTTAAATGGGGAGGGGGAGGGGGAAAAGGTGGTTGTTGATGCCTAACTACTTTTATTGTTGTGTAAAGTGAAGGCCCTGAGGTGAAAGAGTGCGCGCGCGCGTGTGCGAGAATCTGTGTGTTTGTGAGAGAATCCGCGTGTGCGCGCGTGAGAGAGACAGAGAAGGGGGGAGTCGCAGCGAGTGTGAGGCGAGACCTCCGCTTCCCCAGCCGCTCTGCTGCTATTTAGCAGGCAAAATCCCCAGCCACTCCTTCTGGTTTTGTGGAGGATCCAGAGCCTTTGCAAAACCGTCCAGTCGGACTGTCCTTCTACGAATGCTGACCAACCGAAATCCCAGACCACAAAAGAGGGAGCAAACTTTTGAGCTTCCCAGAACTCTCCTCGGGGCCAGGAAGACCTCCATCCCTTTGCCAAAGGGCGCCTTTCGCTTCATCTCCATCCTCTTCCAGAGTCGTGTGAGCGATTCCGGAGTCCCCGCTAGCGCTGGAAGTCACCAACCGAGGGGGAGAGACGCCTGGGGCGGGGTGAGCGAAGCTTCTAGAGACGGCCCTCATCCCACCGGTGCGCCGCTCTGTAAAGGACGACTCGACCACGTTCCTTGCTTGGATCCCGCTCCCCGTTCCTGGCTGGGTTCTCAAGGGACTGGAGGATTGGACTGGAGGAAAGGAGACCCTGGGGTGGGATTTCCCTTCTCTCTTCCCCTCCCTGCTTAAATGGCGTTGAGACCGTGTAGTTCCCCAGAGCTGAGCTGGACTTTGGGGAGACTTGCTCTCTTTTGAGGAAAGTCTAACACGCCCAGAGGATTCAACACTCAGGGGCCAGAGGAAACAGGAAGAAGCCGGCCAAGAGTTCGGATGCAGGCTCCTACTACTGACTTTACATCTCTGCATTTTGCTCCCCGCAGTCCAACCTTTTCCTCTCAATTAACTTTTAGCCCGCTTAACTTCAGGGCCCTATAATGGGAAAGGCCAGTGAGGGTCTTGCGGTGGTTGCTGGGGAAAGACGAAAAGCCCCTAGAATGCAGTCCTGTGGTGGTGCACACCACCGCTTGGCCAAAGTTCCGGGCGTTCCCGATTTTCTCTCTCTAAAGATCCTGGATTCGGTGGAAAGAGAGGGCACGTGTGTGCGGGCCAATACGTGTTATTTCTGAAAGCTTTGCCAGTTTCCTGCTGATGAAATGTTTGTCCAGCTCTCTCACTTGCCATTCATACACCATTATTATACTAGTTACATTACATCATGTAAATCTCAGTGGGGGGGATTTTTGATTTTGCACGTTTTCCTACTTCAAAAACATGATATTAAGGCAGAGGTTTTGGGTTTGCAGATGACTTTCCAGACTATACACCCTCTTCTCCCTCCCAACCCCCAGAGGGAGGAGGAAAGTTATCCATAATTTCCGCCTTGGCCCCCTCCCTCTTTTAAACCTCAGGTAATAAATGAATGAAATATTGCCTGTAATTAACCCGAGAGAGCCAGATTCCATCCAATGCTCAGGACAGAGAGCGATTATAATTTTTAAAAATTCTTCCCCTTCCTCATAGGGTATAGAACAGAATTTTATTTTACATCCTCGGTTTCAAGAACTATAGTAATGGAAGTTGGGGAAAGAAGCTATAGTAAGGGGAGTATGTGAATCAGGGAGAGAAGAAAGGCACAATTCGATCCTTCCTTTAGGAATAGAGGAAGGCTCCTTTTTGCTTTAGGCTTCTTAATTTCCGCGAACTTCCTCCCTTTGCGCCCCCCAAAAGAGCTTCTAGTTTCCTGTTGCAAAGGGGCGGAAGAAAAAAAAAATCAATCCCCGCTCTCGCCGGGCCCAGAAAGAGCACGAAAAGGCAGGGAAATTCGTCAGTTCCAGGCTGGCTTTTGTGCTTTCTTTTGGCCTCTGCAGACAAAACAAATCCCCGCCTCTGTCTTCGCGAGGGAGTTCCTGCGACCGAAGAACCAACCCCACCGACTTCGACTCCCGCTCCATGCGAGGTGGAAGGAGCCCGACAAGTCTTTCCCCCCTCCTCGCCAGCCCCCGGCGGACCCCCCATCCAGGTCCTACTTGGGGCTCGGACCCAGGACTTAAAATCAAAGGGCTCCTCCGCTGTACCGGCCAAAGCGAGAGAAGACCGCTGCCTCGCTTCCCGTTGGCGCGAAGGCGGCGGAGGAAGCCCGCTTAACGCCCGGAGCGGCAGAGCTTTCGTAGCCGGAGAGGAAGTCGCCTGCTGCAGACCCAGAGCACGTTCTCCGCCAGCCATCTTCCTTGCCTTCTTCCCGCTCCGACCCACGCCCTCCTTTTTCCTCTTAATCCTCCGGGAGGGGAAACCGTCTTCTCTTCAGCTTCCCGGCTTGGGGTCGTGCAAGGAGCAAAAGGTCCACGGGTAGGTTGGGGAGAAGAGGAGCCTCCATCTTCCTTGCCTTCTTCCCGCTCCGACCCACGCCCTCTTTTCTCCTCTTAATCCTCCGGGAGGGGAAACCGCCTTCTCTTCAGCTTCCCGGCTTCGAGTCGTGCAAGGAGCAAAAGGTCCACCGGTAGGTTGGGGAGAAGAGGAGCCTCCATCTTCCTTGCCTTCTTCCCGCTCCGACCCACGCCCTCTTTTCTCCTCTTAATCCTCCGGGAGGGGAAACCGCCTTCTCTTCAGCTTCCCGGCTTCGAGTCGTGCAAGGAGCAAAAGGTCCACCGGTAGGTTGGGGAGAAGAGGAGCGAGCGGGCAGGCCTGGAAGGGGGATTTTCCCAGCGCCGCATTCCTGAATGGGAAGGGCCGGCCGTCTGGAGCGGAGAGAGGGGATCCCTTCCCGCATCTACTCACCGGCAGGGCTTGCCCCCATTTTGAAAAAACCAAAACTCTGAGAACGATCTCCTGATCATTCTTGGGGATCACATTGTTATCAAAGCATGGAAGGGGGGAAGGAGGAAGAAGGAGACGAAGCGCTTCCTTGTTACGGTTTCCTTGAGAAAAGGTAAAGGCGGCGAAAGGGACCCCCGGAAACCATAGAGGAAGAGCAGCAGACAAGACAGACCCTTCCTGGCTTTCCCAATATTCTTGGGGCCCTCTCTTAAGTGCACCCGGGCGATAAGGGCCCTCGGGGGTGCTGGGCACGCGCGCGCCAGAAAGCAGCAGAGCAACGAGGGCGGGCGGCCTTTGAGCCACCCGACAGACCCAGAAATCCGGGCGCCTCCAGAAAGATCTGGAGCGGAGCGCGAAAAGGCGGCCCTGCGAGCTGCTCTAAGGGACTCTGGGCGAGATGCTTCCCTCTTCCAGCAGCACCTAAAGCTCAAGACAAGCGGGGCCTGCTCTTTCGCTCCCTCTTTTTGTTAACGGAAAGTCAATGCCTTTAATTAAAAATCGTTAAATAAATCCATCTCTTTACTAGCACAAATATACTTTCTGTACCGAGTTTGCAAAAGATATCGACAGAAACTCGAGCGGCAGGGTCCGGAGATAGTTTGATTTCACAGAAGAAAGGAGGGATGGGGAGCAAGAAACAGTGCTTTATATTCACACGCATCTATGTATCAGGTTCTTTTAAAAAGAGAACTATTCCTCTTTATACCAGCATATACGGCTTTCTCCTTTTAAAACGATTTTTCCTTTGTATCTTGTTTTTCACAGGACGGTCTTATGCATGTTTACTCGGAAGTAAGCCTTACTGTCTAAAATTAGGCTTACACCAGGATTGGTGTGCTATGAGTTACAGTATAAAGCTGCTTACTTGCAGTGATATTTAATAAAGCAGATCCGGGGTGGGAGTCAGGTTTAAAATATGTCTTGGAAATATTGCATTTGTGACTAGTAAACCAGGAAACGGGTTTGAAAGGATTTTTTGCAGGAAGCTTAAGATCACAGTTTTAATTGTACAAAGAAGGAGATGGCAGCAGCAGATGACTTCCCATTTGATGCAAAGACAATCTTTGAATATAATCTTTTCTGCAAGGGGCAGCAAATTCTATTTCACTTGGGCTGCAATTCTTCTGATTTCTTCAGAAGGTAAGTGGGGCACCTCGAATTTGAAATTTCCAGGGCAGGAGGCATTTGAAAAGCAGAAAAACATGGAGTCTTAAATCTGTAATTCAAATTTTTTTAAAAAATCAATTCTAAACTAATGCTCTATCCAGGAGCCTGCACTCTTTGATTTCAGAACTGTAACAAAAAGGGTAATTTATTTAATTATTTGCGATTATCTGTGATTTGATGGAAGCCTGCAAAAATATGTGGGTAAATCCCCAACCATTGGATTTCAAATATATTTAAAGATAAATGAGGTGATATCCCACTGGGGAAAGATCTATGAGGCTTCATTACTTCTTTCTTTAAAAAAATGCTTAGAAAAGTATTGTATATAAATTCTTCCTTCTCTTTAAGTACAGTGCTGTAACTTGGAAGCAATAAATTTGTTTTCAATTAATACATTTTTAGAGTAGTATTAAAGTAAAAATGTCACAAATAGCATCTTGGAGTAAATGCCGAGCAAATTACGTTTAAAAGAATAGTACTGTATTACTCTTTTTTTTAAAAAAAAAATCCCTTGGAAAGAAGGATTAGAAGCGATGCGGGTTTTCAGCAACAAAGTCCAAGCAGCATATTGAGTTACATGAAAGGAGATAAATGCAAAAATCACCCCAGGAATGGACTTGCTGTAACAAAACTACGTGCAGTTGTGGGATGGAAGAAAAGGCGACATTTTTCCCACTTTAGAATTAAATCGGCGGAAATGCTGGGTCCTAATAAAAAGGGATATCAAGATAGACAATACATGAAAAGAGAAGAGAGGGGAACATTTCACGCATGCAAACAGAGCAAAATCGGACGCAATAATTACTTACAGATCGCTGCTTTCCTGGGCCAACGTTCTGTTTTAACACACCACAGAAACCAAACAATCCAAAGGAAACACCAACCTCCCGGCAAAAAAGTAAGGGCGCCCAAATAGCAAGGGCGCCCAAATCCGAGCCATGGATTGAAAAAACGCTGTCTTAGAAAACGGGCGAGAGAAATACTCGCGCGCGCCTAATATGTTAAAAATCTGCTTTTCTTCCCCTCGGCTCTCTTTTCCCGGAGCTTCCCTTGGCCGTCTCTGCCTCTGGAAAGCGGAAACTGAGGGCGGCTTTTGCATGTGCGCGCCGAGATCCCTGCTCCCCCACCCCTCCTCCCTCGGCCGCCGGGGTGTTTGAGAATCTGGTTTTACGACGACGGCCCCGGCTCTGCCGCTATTATGAATTTCGTCTTTCGTCGGTAGTATTTTGCTCCAGCTCCAAGGTCCCCCCTACCTGCCCGTGTGGAGTAAATCCATTCAATTAGGGCACCAAGACGGAGCTGGAGGCTCTATAATCACAAATTTATGGCCGGATGACGTGCCTCTCTCTCCCACAATGGAGACCAGTGACATTAAACAGAAAATTGATGAGAGAGAAGCGAAATCTAATCTCTTCTTCCCACTTCTTCCACGCCATCGCCGCTGCCGGCTTGCCTTTTTTCCCTTGTTTGCGGAGGGAAAGGCGGGGTGCTGCTGGTGATGGTGAGAAAGGATTTTCGCTCGCTGTTGGTGGCAATGGGTGTGAGGAGGGGAGCGGGATAGTTTAGGTTCCCTCCCGAACCAAATGCCGTTCTCCCCAGTGTTTATTCATGACCCGTTCGCGATCCCTGTACAACTGAGGCAAGTGTTGGGCTCGGGGAGATGAGGATCACCTTAGTTCCAATTTTCTCGCCCCCCCCCCGCCCCCGGCCGCCAGGGGCTTTAAGGACTTACCTGATTGGGCTCGTGCTTTTTAGTGCGGAGTTGCATTTTCTTCCCGGGCAAGAACTACTGGTCGGGGTCGCCTGCTTTCGGAAGGCGAAAAGCAAGGGCTCCGCGGCTGTGCCACGCTTTGTGGGGAACAGAAAGGAAAAGGAAGCCTTCCTGGGCAAACCGGGGAGTCGGGGGGTCTGCATTTCACCCCGGCTGCATTCCGCCGTGTTCGGAGAGAAGAACTACCTCGACATCCAACCCGCACGCACAGCACAGGGAGAGAGG